CAGGGATTAGAGGTGCCAACCCCCTGCATAATAGGAAATCCACATATAACTTTTGATTCCCCTAAAACTTAACTACCAATAGCCTACTATTGACTGGAAGACTTACCAATAACATAAACAATGTATTTTATATGTTATATGTATTATATACTATATTCTAATAATAAGATAAAGGAAATGTTACTAAGGAAAACATAAGGAAAATACATTTGCAGTACCATACTATATTTATTGAAAAATTCTGTGTATAAGAGGACCTGTACGGTTCAAACCCATGTTGTTCAAAGGTCAACTGTAGTTTTTATGCATCACAAAATATTATTCTTCTTTGACTTTTTTCAACCACTTAAAAATACAGAAACCACCTTTAGTTCTGGGCCATACAGAAACAGGCAGCAGGCCAGATTTGGCCCAAGGGCTGAAGCCTGCTAAGCCCTGATCTAGCTCATTAGTTCTTGGCTATACATCAGATTTACTCAGGTAACTATTAAAAACAACAGATGTCAAGGCCCATGCTAGTCTCAATAAAGATCTCTCTGGCTGGAACCCACGCACTATGCTTTAGAAACCTCCCCAGTTTATTCAGATACTAAGCCAGGGTAAAGAACCACTGGTCTAGGTCATGCCACACAGCTTCCCAGTGATATGTCAGTTTAAATATCCCTTTCATGTATTAAAGAGATTCTTAGGTTGCTGAAATACTTTTCAGTGACTATTCAATAAATACATATCTAATTCTTTTCCCTTTTCATGGGTCAAAATGCTGCCTTTCTGCTCACAATTCACAATTTTACTCTTGCTGATTTCTTGAAGCACTGGCTACCCCAGAATGGTTGATGAGGACGAAATGATAGTGTTCCTCTCTCTTTTGGAATTCTGGAATAAAAGTACTCTCAGAAAACAAGAGGGTACTTGGATGCTTTTCTTTAAAATAATTATTACTACTACTACTACTACTACTACTACTACTACTAACAACAATAATAATAATGCTACAATTTATTGAGTGCTTATTTTGGGTGATTCACTGTGTTGTAATTATAACAAGCCTGCAGAGTAGATGTTATTATCCCTGCTGAAGTCAGACACTCAACTTTAAGATTAATAACAGGCAGGGGCACCTGGGTGGCTCAGTCGGTTACATGTCCAACTTTGGCTCAGGTCGTGATCCCACGGTTCGTGGGTTCGAGCCCCGCATCGGGCTCTGTGCTGACAGCTTGGAGCCTGGAGCCTGCTTTGGATTCTGTAGCTCCCTCTCTCTCTGCCCCTCCCCCGCTTCTCAAAAATAAATACACATTAAAAAAAATTTTAAACTGACATTTCATTCACTGTTATGGGCTGAATTGTGTCCCCTGAATTTCATATGTTGAAGTCCCAGGTCCTAACCCTCAGTACCTTGGAGTGTGACTATATAAGGAGATAGGGCCTTTAAATACGTATACGTATCATTAAATACATATCATTAAATACAACATTTAAATGATGTCGCATGGGTGGGTCCTAATCCAGTATGACTGGTGTCCTGATAAGAAGAGAAGAGAACAGGTCAGAGACAGGCTCAGAGAGAAGGCTGGGATGAAGACAGTGGAGAGTTCCTCGGAAGAAATAAAACCTGCTGACATCTTGATCTTGGACTTTTAGCTTCCAGGACTGTTCAGGAAATAAATTTCTAGTTGTTTAAGCCATCCAATCTGTGGTGCTTTATTGTGGCAGCCCTAGCAAATGAATTCATGCACACCTATGAAATTAAGGATTTGGAATAAAAAGAAATTAAAAATGTTTTACTAGATCATCTTCTGGACGGTCAAATTCTTTATACTGAATATAAAGCACATGTTCAGAGTCCTAGAATATTCCTGAGCACTATGAGGTCTGGAAGTACAGAAGAATAGGGTGAAAAATGCTTCTCACTGAGATACAGATACCTAGTGAGCATCTATAATGAAGAAGCTCAGAGACAACCTCATCGCTTTCCTATTTCACAACAGGAAGTCAGTAAGTATAAAATTAGGCAAGAAATAAAGGCAATTTTAGAATAGGTGGTTGATGTAAGTGAACTTCTCTATAAAGAGGATGAACACGATTGGTAGGAAGCAAATGCTTTAGCAGAAAACAACTACACCATGGAAAACCCAAATCACTTGTCAAACGTGTGACAAGTGTCACCTTGACAAAGTGCCCCTGCTCCTTGATTCTGTATTTGAGCAAAATATAACAGGAGAAAAAAAGTGTTTATGACATTATAATTTCTTATACAACCACAATTAACAGTATTGGAAGGACAAATTGGTGGTTATAATAAAACTAGTACTTTTTTGGGCTCCTGGGTGTCTCAGTTGGTTAAGCATTCAACTCGACTTCAGCTAGGATCATGATTTCATAGTTTGTGGGTTCAAGTCCCACATTGGGCTCTGCACTAACAGTGTGGAGTCTGCTTGGGATTCTCTCTCTCTCTGCCCCTCCCGCTCTCTGTCTCTCAAAGTAATTAAAATAAACTTTTAAAAAATTATGAAAACAATATGATATCCTAGCTACTATTCAATATTATTGCTATCTTTTGAATTTGTTGTGAGATTGAATGTAAGTAAACCATATAGACACAAATAGTTAAGAAAAGGACATAAAATAATCAGCATCACCATTATTGTATTCTTCCTGGACAAAGGAAATGGCAGTCTCTCTCTAGAGACTTCAGGAAAGTGCTTATTTACTTCAAGGACCACTTGGATCATCAGAAAATGTATGTGACACAATGGGAACCTTTGAAACAAAGCAGCTGATAGAAACAAGATTCTATTATAAAACATGTTTCTCTGCAGCCTATCTGGTACAATGTTCTGCTTAGCTCTCTGTCCTCCAGCCACACAAATGCCAAATGAACCCACTGGGCTACTGTCCCAACCTATCCCTCAGTATGACCTGATGTCCTACCCTTCCTTCCGATCTCACTCAATTCCTTTATATGTGATCACAGCTGTTATCATGTGCCTCTCCTCATAATCCTTATCTCAGTTGTACCTGTGTGTCAACAACCTGGCTGTATGCTTCATGCGGGGTGAGATCAATTTCATGTAATATTGGCTAGGTTTTATCCCCAGTGCTTGGCACACAGTAGACACTCAATAAATATTCAATAACTAGAGGGAAAATATAAATACTTTATTTTTATTTTTTTTTATTTTTTTTATTTTTTTTTCAACGTTTATTTATTTTTGGGACAGAGAGAGACAGAGCATGAACGGGGGAGGGGCAGAGAGAGAGGGAGACACAGAATCGGAAACAGGCTCCAGGCTCTGAGCCATCAGCCCAGAGCCCGACGCGGGGCTCGAACTCACGGACCGCGAGATCGTGACCTGGCTGAAGTCGGACGCTTAACCGACTGCGCCACCCAGGCGCCCCTTATTTTTTTTTTTTTTAAATATAAATACTTTAAATAGAACATCACTCAACAAATATTTACTGAACACACTGTGCTAAGTGCCAGGGATATGGTGATGAACAAGATAGAACTATGAAATATATTATGCTTATAATTTTATATGTGTGTGTATATAAGAGACAGGTATGTGAAAGAATTATTTGATTTATAAAAAAAAAAAAACCTGGAACCAGGATGATTAAAAAAATGGATGTCCATATTTGTCACCATTTGTGATTAATGTTAATAGCCTATGGTTGAAGATAATAAGTCATTTCTGTGAACAAGTAATAGTTCAATGAACAGCTGTCTGTTGTTTGCTTATCTGAGGGCCTCCTGAAGCATCATGCAGTGAATCTTCAACACATGTGCACTAGCAGATAACAGGGTTCTTGGGTACCCACAGGCCCATCTCACTAGAGGACTAAGAGCATACATGCCCCAAAGCTCAAAGAATCAGTGGCGCTCCCGTACCAAACACAGCACAGCCAAGGGGATCATCAATAGAGACACCAAGTCACCAAGCTCCTTTCATTAAACAGGCGTAGCTGGCTACGGACCCATCCTTGTAGAACAGAGCATAAGAACCATATTGTATGTCCGAAGAGTGATTGAAGGAAAAAGACTATTCATTTACCTATGGTTTGTACAGCTACCAATACTTCCTTTTTTTTTTCTGCTAGAAAAAGTGAAGTCTGAGCCTCTGTTGGTGTTAAGTCATTCTTTATTTAGCTGCCTTCAAATATTTCCTCTCTCAGTGATTGATAAGCTAAGAGTATAATTATGGCAATCATCAGCTGGCTCACTGTGCTGGTTCCTGGCCATATTTACTCCTCTCTATTGTCCCTTTAGTTTATCTGTCTACTTTTTCTTAAGGTTGTGTGTATCTTAGGTAGAAAAATAAGGATGTTCAAAACAAAACAGAACCTTAATTAATGGAACCCAACTACTTGGAAGACACAATATGCTGTTTTGTTCTAGTTTCCATTTGGGTAAAAGTTAGATGACCAAACACACACACACACACACACACACACACACACACCATATAAGTTTTTGTTTAAAAATTTTCCATGAGATGACCTGAGGTATATATAAAATACAAATTCTATCATTTCCAAACAAGAATCATTGACATTTAGTATAGCAATTAATTTGAAATAGGCCTCAAGAGTTTTAGTTGACCCTAAGCTAAATTTGAGGGAGTTAAACAAGTTCATCAAAATTCAGGCTGAAGGAGTATCATGACCAAACCAAAAGGAGATAATAGTCTCACTGTTCTTGACTTTGGCCAAACCACAGGAGGAAGTGGGAACAATTAAAGAGATCACTGGCAAAAAAGAAAGGAGCCAGAATAAGGAGGGGAAAGAATAGTGGGGAGTCTGGGATAAGATGCCCTGTGGAAAATCCATGAGAGAACTGGAGAGACAAAGCTGTATGAGGGACATTCATAAAGGCCTTTTCTGCTGAGGAGGGAAGGGGCTATGTTAACCCTAAGTCAGACCTGTGAGCAGTCAGTACAATAGAAATTGTTTTAGCTGCTACGCAGAAACTAAGAAAATAAAGCATTCTCTCTTTTCAGCTGGATCTGATCCTGGACTGGCCTGGGACTTCAGCATAGGCATAGGAAGCCTACCCAGTAGAAGGCAGAGCTGGTAGACGAAGAAACCCAGGTTCTGACTGCATCATATGAGCTCCGATTAAAGCTACCCCTACAGGTATCTGCTAGACTTTGCAGTTGGACAATACATTCCTTGTTTTCCTTAAGCCCCTTTGAGTAAGGTTTTCTGCTTCCTCAAGTGAAAGAGTCCTAAGTGAGACAAGATCTTAGCTACCTTGTGAGGTAGCAAGTTCCACATCACTAGAAGTGGCCAAAGACTAACCATCTGCCAAGGAGTAGGGGGAAAGAAATCTAAACTGGGCTCAAGCTAAGCCTATGTGATGGTATTAGTTTGCTAGCTCTACCATAACGAATACCTCAGACTGGGTGACTTAAACAACAGAATTGATTTTCTCACAATTCTGGAGGCTAGAAATCTAAGATCGAGGTATCAGCAGTATTAGTTTCTTCTAAGGCCTCTTTCCTTGGCTTGTAGATGGCTGTCTTCTCCTTGTGTCCTCACATGGTCTTTCTTCAATGTGTGCCTGTGTCCCAATCTCCTTTTCTCATAAGGACACCCATTATATTAGACACTGGTCTACGCTAACGACTTCATTTCAACTACCCTTTAAATTTTTTTAAATGTTTATTTTTGAGAAAGAGAGAGACAGCCCAAGTGTGGGAAGGCAGAGAGCGAGGGGACAGAGGATCCGAAGCAGGCCCCACGCTGACAGCAGAGAGCCCAACATGGGGCTCAAACCCACAAACCACATGGTCATAACCCAAGTCAAAGTCAGACGCTTAACTGACTGAGCCACCCAGGTGCCCCTCAACTACCTCTTTAAAGACCCTGTCTCTAAATGTCACATTCTGAGGTATTAGAGGTTAGGAGTTCAGTATATGAATTTGGGGGAGGGGACACAATTCAGGCCACAAAAATGATCTCCAAGGTTACTTAGAATTCCAACAAAATTTAGTAAAGAATGCCGTGTTTTACTCAAGAGCTATTTATTCCGTGGATCAGAAATAAAATGTATGATGCCAGTGGTAGCTGCCCTGGGCTTCTGAAGTAGCATGAGGTTGCACCCTTAGAAAAGAATTGTTAGCAGTTTGTACAACCCAATCCAACTATATTTATTCATTTATGTTATCTAGGGGACTGCTATTTACTTTTCCAGTGGTTGATGTAGAGTGAAAGGCTTTGACAAACAGTGCTAATTAATACGTTTTTACAACAGGCAGCATGGTGGGGCCTAGGCTGCACCTTGTCTGAAGTGATGTCATCCAGGGCACAGACATACTGGCAGTAGACTTTTCTCAGGAATGGTCATAACTGCCTTCACTAGCATTAAACAAAATGCAAATAAAATAAAATGCAAACATCTCAGCAAGGGCAGCCAAGTCTTTTACAAATTCTGAGCCAGTACATGGATAAATGTCCAAGTTTTATAGTTCTAACTTCCATTCAAATCTACTGGCCTTCCAGAAAGAAAATCCTCTATACAGATCCACTATCATAAATCACATTGCCCATCTCTGACCAGACAGTCTGTTGTCATGGCATCGCCTGGATGAATTTGCATGAATGGCAGTGTGCAGATTTCTGATTTCTCAGCAAAACCCATTCAGAGTCTGAGTCCTTGCAGGGGTGGGCAGGGAGCAGTGAGGTCTGATGTGTGGTTTTTCACATACTAAAACCAACCACAGTAGAAAGTTAGATCATTAGAGTCAGAACTCAAAGAAGCCACAGCCATTAAGTCCAACCGTCTTATAAAGACAAGGAAATAGAGGTCCAGACAGGCAGCATGGGGGCCTCAAAATCCATTAGCCAGTGAAAGTCAAGGTCCCTGCTCCCTTGCCCTTTGGCTCTTTTGGTAGATAACAACAATGTGCTGTGTTCCTACTCCAGGGTTCCTACATGAAGTCAGACTTAGACAAGGGCCTGAAGAAACGCCTATGGATTGGACCAGTAGCGACAGGGCCTGGTGATGCTAGTGTGGTTATGCCTATGGTAACAGCTATGCGTTTGGATCAAGGAAGTTGGATATGTGTTTGAGTTGACTTTAGAAGACAGTTAACATTTTAAACTTTGATGAATCATTAAGAGGAATGGCATAAGAGGAAAGTAGTAAAGCAAATGCCAGTCAACAGCTGCCCAATATCCTGGATCAAAAAAGAAAAGTTAAGAGGAAAATTTTGTTATGAGATAAAATGGGTCAAAAACCTATTTCTCCTGAGGTAGCCCCAGAAAGTTCAGGTGCCAATGCTAAGGCAGGACACAAGGTGAACCAGGATTTCTGTCCCCAAGCAGACAGACTTTGAAACCAAATAATCAGAAATTGACTATCTGGCTTGGGCTGGGTAAGGAACAGAAATTAGGGAGGGGCACCCCCCCCACACACACACACACCCCTAACAGGATTGTAAGGAGACAGCAAAGACAGGGGCTAAGAGTCTCCATCTTGTGTAGGTCCAACCACCGACTCAGGCTGTGTTCATCAACACTTCAGGTCTCTAGACCCGCCTGGGAGGTCTCTGAGATGGGCTTAGCCCACCAGGGGGTTGAAAGTTGCCCAGATCTTTTCCCTTCCTTGATCCCTAAAGTAGCTCCACAGAACCCACTGTGAAGAGTCAACTACTCTACCTACCAACACTGAATTTGAGCTATCTCCCTCTCTTTCTCTCTTTCTTGAACTTTCACTAGCTTTCAGACTTAATTCAATGTAATCCCAACTCACAATGCTAAACACTTTCCCTGAAGTGAAAATTAGGTTATGAGTTTTTCAAGAAAGAACAAAAAAATACAATTTCAGTAAACTCCTGCCCCAAACTTGTCAATTAATACATTTTTATGACTAGAAATTTTGTTCCATTCTTTTTCAAAATAGGAAACTGTAACTGAATATTAGATTCTGTCCAAACCCACTCCTCTTCCCCCTTTTTTGTGACATTAAGGAAAAAAGACCATCAACCTCAGTGGCCTTGAGACCTCTGCTTACTGCAGGCCCCTCACCATGCCTAACCCTTCATACTAGTATTTCTATAATGTTCTCCAATTCTTTAGCATTTTTCCCACTTACTATCTCATTTGTTCCTGCCAATAATCTTCTGAAATAGGAAGGGCAAGAGTTCTCATGAATCCTATTTTGCAGCTGAAGAAATCAAGGCCGTGAAAGGTGAACCAAGTTGCCAAAGTCACAAAACTAAACAAATCGCAGAACCAAGACTCAACTTGAGGTCTTCTGCTGTCAAATCCTATACCCTTCCCATAGTCAGCAGACCTCCTCCACCCTGACCATGAGGATTGGAGGCAAACAGAGAAATTGAAAGGGTACTCTCTTACACACACGCACGCGCGCACACACACACACACACACACACACAATGACCATTCTACCTTAAAAATCTTGTTTCACAAAAATTTGCTGTGATATTCTACTTGGATTTGAAACATACTAGATTTCTAACAAAATCTTGTTGATAGAACTAAGAATAACTTAATAGTAATAACTTAGTAGTAACAAAAGAGTATTCATAATTAAGAGTAACTTGGTTAAGAGTAATCAAGTAATAATGAAACTAGTCTTCATCTACTTTGATGGATGCCAACATTATTATCTGATTCACTGAAAAGAGTATGGGATCTACCCGCCAGAGACCTGGGCTGAGTCCCCACCCCACCATTCAGAAGGGCAGACCTTGGGCAATCATAGCAAATCTGTTCCTTCTTAGTCATGCATGGTGGATCTGCCCATCCAACCAATGTAAATGCCACCAGGAATGGAGTACACATGCAGAAAAAGAAGTTTACCACTGCTTGACTCACTCTCACAGTCATCCCAATGTTAAGCCACACATAACTCCTACTCCAGTATCCTCTGACTCTTAGAATCTTTGGGAATCCCAGCCCTCTCTATCCTTCTTAGGCTCTCCTTGCTCTGTTAGGACATAGGTCTTAGTCACCTCAGGCTATCATAACAAAATACTACAGAATGGGTGGCTTAAACAAGAGAAATCTATTTTCTAACAGTTCTGGAACATGGAAATCTGAGAACAGGGTGCCAGCACTGTTGGATTCTGCTGAAAACCCTCTTCCTGACTCGCAGATGGCCACCTTCTCACTGTGTCCTGCCATGGTGGAGAGAAAGAGCCAGAGAGCAAGCTCTCTAGTGTCTCTTCTTATAAGGGTACTAATCCCATCATGAAGGCCCCACCCTCATGATTTCATATAACCTTAGTCACCCTCCCAAAGGCCCCATCTCCAAATACCATCACGCTCGGGGTTAGGGCTTCAACACATGGATTTCAGGGTGGACACAATTCAGTCCATAGCAACAGGCTTCTCTGTTCTTAATACCCATGTTCTCTGACACAATTAGGAACCTACCCTGGGGCTCCATGAACCCTGGCTGCAGGTTCTCAGGTGCTCTACCCCAGGCCCCCAGGGAGTCAACATGTCTTTTCCACCAATGGAGGTTATCCGGCTCTCATCAAGCCACTGTAAAATGAATATAACAAAACTTAACTGTTTTGTCAAGTGGCTATAACAATAAAAATATTTATGAAAACTGTATAAATTGTAAAGCCTACAGTATTATTTCCATTTATTTTTATTGGTGATCTAGAAATTAGAAATGGAAATAATGATTTTCTAATGTAGTCTAATTAGGAAACTGAGAATAAAATGGTTCCCTCTAAAAGATACAAGAATCTGTGGAATAAAGTATATTCCAGTTATCAGTGGCATTCCTCAGTTAAGGCAATAAAAAATAATTTTACCTTCAGGCATGTGTATTAAAAAATAGTAATTGATTTGTTTGCTGGTCTTGGTTTGCATTCTTAGTTTAAATTGCACTTATCAAGTAAGCCCTAAGCACAAAAAATCACACCTAAGCCATTAGGCTATTTGGGGCATCATATTCCCCCCAGTACTATGTTTCTCCAGTCCCATGGAAATGCAGGGGCCACCATTCCTAAGGGTGAATAGTGGCTCACTCTAGGATGAAGGCCTTGAGTTATGAGTGAATAACATCAAGAGAACATTAGAGAAATAATCATCAAGACTTCAGGTTCTGACTTTAGGATATAATTTTCATCCCCATCTTAGAAGCACTGAGTTTGCCTCTTTTCAATAGTCCTGCTCTATGGTAGGCACTGCTTCCAGAAGTAACACTGATAGTAACACGTTCCTTATTTGCGGTAAATGGTTTCCCAAAATGGATCTACTAGCTGAAGGGAAGTAGAGAAGGAAGATGGTTACAGAAAACTGAAATCATGGGATGGAGCTAGTTGTCCTACTTACATGCCAGTCAGTGTTCCCCCAAAGACCTCTCTCCAGCCTCCTCCTCTCTTCCAAGATCTAGACTTACAAATACAACAGTGGGCATCTCCACTGTCTCAGAGGCTTCACACAAGGTCCATACTCCAGTATCCTCTCCCCGCCTCCCTGGGTTCCCTTCCTTGGCGGGTGGCACCACCACCTATGTGGTATCTAGCTCACAAAATAACTTCTCCCTTGCTCCAGCTATAGTAAATCCTGCCCAAAAGAACTTTCAGTTTTATTTGCTTTATTCTTTTCCCATTCCCAATGTCTTAGGTGCCTAAGTTAACATTTCTGTAGCACCCAACACTTTTGTTTGTTATATGGTCTTCCACACTATGTGAACCCCCATGATAGAGGTGCTGTGTCTATCTTGTTCAACATTGTATCCTAGAACAGGATCTGGTCTTTAATAAAGCTTTCTTTTAAAAAAAACATTTGAGTGAACATAATATTTAATTGTGAATTAACTCTATATGATACACAGCCATCATGAGAAACATTAGTTTTTTCCACTTATATTCAGTGTGAGTTTTACATGACTCTCATCCTCACACTACTGAAAGGCAGCTAATCTAGAGAAATGTGAATTTCATCGGGGTTAAAAGGAATAATTTGAGAGAATGGGCATTTTAGAGGAATGGAGGTCTTACCAGGAAGATAAAGGAAGGTACTTGAAACAGGTGAAAAAATTGTACTGACACTGGTCATCCACAACAGAAAAGAAGACGACTGAGAGGTAAGACTGGGTTGCATAAAGGGGCAATACTTGCCACTCTAAGTCTGTGCCCATGAATCTATAAAGTAGCTGAGATCATGAGCTTTGGGATCTGAATGGCTTGGGTTTGAATCTTACCTCTGCTGTTTACTAACTGTGTCACCACGGGCAACTTATTTAACTACTCTGAACCTTTCTTCTTTGAAATAGACATACCAATGCTTAACTCACAAGGCCACTAAAAGAGTTAAATGAGGGTGTGGCATAGAGTATTTAGCACATGCCTTCGTAAGCACTTTTCCATAATAAGCACTCAAATGGTAGCATACCAGCTATTATTATTTTTGTAGTATCATCCTATAATAATATTTTTGTTAAAGTTGGAGATTTTTAAATGTTTAATGTTTATTTTTTGTTTATCCTCTAGATTGCATGGCTATTCTGAATTGTGAAATTGCTAAAAAAAAAATAAGAAAGAAAAAAAAGAGAAGAAAAAGAAAACCCCACAAAAACTCAAAACCTTCATCTGGATTGGTGGAAGGCATTAAATCAACAAAGGTAGTGCATGGATTACCAGTTTATGACTTAAGAAGAAAACAACCTATAATTTCTCTGTAACTCAGAGACTGAAGTAAATTGGGACCCTTCTAAAGTAGAACAAGGTAAATAATGATGATAAATTTACCACTCATATAGATATTTTTAAAAAACACAAAAGCAGAAATCTGTTCATATCACCACTTGCTCAAACTCGCCAATGGCTCCCACTTCTCTTAGATGTGTCACATGCTATCCTTTAATGTGGTCCTCAAGGCCCTGCAGGATCCCTGTCCACCTTGCTGACTTCCCGTTAGTCCTCACTCTCACATTAGGCCATTCACACTTTTGGCTTCCTCGGTGCCCCAAATCTTCACTGGGTAGCTTCTATTCAGGACTCTACTCAAATGTCACTTCTTCAGAGAAAGTCACTTCTCCTAGCCCACCCAAGCTAAAACAGTCTCCTCTACTCAGTCACTCTGTGAACACTCATCCTGTGTTATTTTTGCCATATATTACTTATCATCCTCAGAAATAAAATAATCTGTTTACTGCTTATTGTCTACCCCAACCGTATGTTAGTTCCTTCCATGAGGAGCCTGTGTTTATCTTACTACACACTTGATATAGCTCCAGGGTCTAGGAAAGTCTCTGTCATCTAGTATGTGCTTAATAAATACTTGTTGAAGGAGTCAATTAATAATAACAGTAACAATACGACCTACTGTTTATAGTTGAGCACTTAGCATTGCTATCCATTGTCATTTAATCTTAATCACAATGCTATGAAGTACAATTATTAACCCCATTTTATAAATGAGGAACCTAAAAGGCTTAACAAAGCTAAATTGCTGCTTAACCAAGGTCAGACATACAGTAAGTGTGAGATCTGAACCTAGGTCATGCACACATACACACTCCGTATAGGTAGACTGGCAAAAAGAAGAACAAAAGGAAACAGGATAGCTACCAGACTACCCCACAATTCTACCAGGGCTTGAAAAGGTGACTGAAGCCAAGGCTAGACCAATTTGCTCCCTTCTCTTTCTCATTCTTCTAAATGGAATGAAATGTCTGGCCAACATTTCACAGTCACAGCCAAGGACTATGGCCAACACTTCATCCATGAGGATTCCTCACGGTACCCAGTGGTCAACTTCAAAACACCGCGGCATGGTTCAAAGATACAGTACCTAGACAAATGTATTAACATTTACTCTTTTTGAAAATGTCTGAGCTTCAATCTGTGGATTATCTTTTTCAGGAAAAGTTAACAAATTACTGTTTGTCTGCTTATAGATTACCATTCAGAGATGCTATTTTCAGCAGAGAAAAGGTGAAGAAAAGACGCTTACTACTTCAGCAATAAGAACGGAGCAGTATTCTTCCTTCCAGTTGGAAAGGCTTTGGAGAGGTATGCTTTGTAGTAAACTTCTAAGAAAATTTCTTTTCTTATCCACTCTTGAAAGTATCCTACACAATTATATAATTGCAGTCTGGTAAATATTTCCATGGAGAAGTAGAAATATAATTAGTCAGATTACTTAGATTTTTGACTGCACACAAAAAAAGGCAGTAAATGGGCACTGTATGACTCAAAATAATTAAACCGCTGGTACAAACACTCATACTTGGGCTTACTGCCTGCAATAAACTTTATGGTCTTTGGGATTTCACTTGCCTTTTCGGTACCTTAATTTCTTTTTGTATATAAAGAAATGTACTTGCTACCCAAAACATGGTTGTTGGGCAGTTTGATATTAATTCCCAATAAGATAGTATAAATTTGCATCTGATCTCATTTGAAAGACCTGAGGCCATGATACTTATATAAAATACACTTTTAGTCATTTATATATATGCTACTTAGGAGTAAACACATGGGCAATGTACATATCAGGGGCACAAATTCTCAATGTTTGACATATTGGTATATAATACGTGTCTATAAAATATATACAGTTACACTAACACACAATTCTATATAAGTATAATTATAATGATTCACTATAAGTAGACAAGCTTTCAGCTATTTTCCAACAGAAAATCCAGAAAAAACCTGCAAGGTATATATCTAGCACCAAGAATGGAAAATTATGAGTATTTTTCCATATTTTCTTTAAAAATTAAATATTATGGATAAAGTGGAGGTTCTTCTTGTCCTCTTTGTTCCCCATCCCAGTCACCTCCTTTCTACATCCTGTCCAGGGCTAATAGGAATTTGAAATATATTTTTCCTCTCCAAATTTAAATGTCTTTTGATATAGATATACCCATAAAAATATGTGTAGCTTTTATTTTTTTTTAATTTTTGTAATGTTTATTCATTTTTGAAAGAGAGAGACAGCGTGCCAGTGGAGGAGGGGCAGAGAGACACACGCGCGCGCGCGCGCACACACACACACACACACACACACACACACACACACACACACACAGAATCTGAAGCAGGCTGCAGGCTCTGAGCTGTTAGCATAGAGCCCGAATCTGGGTTGAACTCATGAATGGTGAGATCCTGACCTGAGCTTCATGAAGTGAGATGCTTAACCGACTGAGCCACCAAGGCGGCCTTAAAATATGTGTAGCTTTTAAAATGCATTGTGAAGGGGTGCCTGGGTGGCTCAGTCTGTTAAGCGTCCGACTTCGGCTCCGGTTATGATCTCACGGTCTATGAGTTCGAGCCCTGAGTTGGGCTCTGTGCTGACAGCTCAGAGCCTGGAGCCTGCTTCGGATTCTGTGTCTCCCTCTCTCTCTGCCCGTCCCCCACTCATGCTCTGTCTCAGAAATAAATAGACATTAAAAAAAAATTAAAAAATAAATAAATAAAATGCATTGTGAAGATATGCATAAATGTACCAAACTATGTATCATTCTGAAACTTGCTTTTTCTCCATTCAATATATTTCTTAAAGATTTTATTTAATGTTTATTTATTTTTTAGAGAGACAGAGAGAAAAAGAGAGAGCCGGGGAAGGGCTGAGAGAGAGGGAGACACAGAATCTGAAGCAGGCTCCAGGCTCTGGGCTGTCAGCATAGAGCCCTATGTGGCGGTTCACAAACTGTGAAATCTTGAACTGAGCTGAAGTTGGACGCTTAACCAACTGAGCCACCCAGGCACAACCCCCCCCATTCAACATATTTTTGAGAGCTTTCCATTTTGGCATATTGATCTAGTCCATTCCTTTTACCTTTTGCATAGACTTCTATCTTACGACTATACCATATTGAACATATTTATTCTCCAGTTGATAGATATTTAGACTCTCTTTTCCACTGTTAGAAAGCTGCATAAGCAAGTAAGTGTCCATGTACATGTCTTTCTGCATGTGTTTAAGTTTTTCCAGATAAGGCTATACCTTAAAATGCAATTTTCATTCCACAGAAAATGTCTCACTTGAGCACCCCAGGGGGGCTGCAGAACTGGTCCCACAGTGTGGTCTAGGTAATGAATTTGCAGGAGCGGTGTTTACTTTTGCTGGTGCACACCCTGACAGACATCATCTCAGCCTGTGAGATTGCAGGGGCAGGAGGCTGTCCACAACCACAAGTTACAGCTCATACAGAGTGAGTTCTGTTCTCTTTAACTCAGTGAGCACCTGGGTCAAGCCAGCCACCAGAGGTAGAAGAGAAAATAAACCAAATATGACACCAATAAATAAAAGTCCTGGATTCACTTACACTACCTTGCCATAATGGCCTTTGTTCTGAACTATGAATGGCTCAATTATCAGTAATGCTGTTATTAACAAGTCAGCCTCGTAGCTATAACATGGTAATGTATTTCTTTGCAGAGTTGCTCTTTTCAAGGGACTATAAAAAGCAAATTACTCCCTTTCAACTCTTGATTGTAAGTTCTACTTTTGAGATTCTATAGCTCACAACTTTTTAATAATGAGAATCTATACTTGCTTGTAATAGCTCTAAAAGGCTTTTCCTATAAAAATGGATATCAATGTCTTTGAAGGTAAAGTGGGAGAGAAATAGAAAAAATAGAAATCTATCACATATAAATAATGACAGTTACAATTATAATCACTCTGTATGTCAGCATTACAGAAATGGTAGCTTATACTTACCAAACCCTAAAAAATGGCACCAGAGAGTATATAAACAATCTATAGTCATAAAATGGAGGGGGGGGGCGGAGAAAAACTCAGTTGGATCAAAATGTTTTTGAAAAGAGTGTTAGTTTTGAAAATTTTGAAAACCACAAACATTTGGACTTTGCAGGCTTAATGACCTGTACACTTGTGATACTGTGCTAAGCCCCTGCGTTTTTGTCATAGTCAATGGCTCTTGTATAAGCAACATGATATAGCCGAGGATTGACCAAGTAATAATTTTAAAAAATCAACTGAACTCCTAATATATGCCAGCCACTGTGCTAAGCACTTGCCCTACTTTATCTCATTAGTCTTCATTAAAAGAAATAAAAACAACAATTAAGATGTAGGTACTAAAAGTATCCCTATTTACAGATGAAAAACAGAGATGCAAAAACTTACATAACTTGTCCACAGCCACACAGTTCCAAAAGGCGAAGCCGGGCTCTGAAACCAGGCAATGGGACTCTAAGCCTGTGTCTGGAACCACTATGTGGCAGTGCCTTTCATGAATAAGGACAAGAAGAAACCATCCCCTCCCCTCAAGAGAACAGCATTTCCTTTCTCTACTTTTCTTTCTTTCTGTTTCTGCTCCTTACATTCCTTCTCCCTTTATTTTTCTCTCTTCCTTGTTTATGTTTTAAGTCCACTTATAAACACTCATAGAGGGTGCCTGGCTCGAGATGGGATTGGAGAAGAGCTCAAAAGGTCATTTCCTCCTAAAGCAAGATGGAAAAAGGTTACAGTGAATACCATACCGCACACTCCCCCAACACAAAATATTCTTAAGCATGAGAATACACACTTTAAGCTATAGAGCATAGACCAACAAACATTTCAATAAGAATAAATCTTGGAGACCACCATAATTGACTTTCCTCAGCCCATTTCTCTTGACCACAAAATTTCCTTGCTGATCTTATCTGTGTTCACAGTTTCAACTGTCCCAAATCAGTATCTCCAATCCTAAGCTTGGAGATACAGCTTAAGCTTCAGGCTTGGAATAATCAACTCTCTGTTAGACATTCCCAAATAGATGTTCCAATTTCAAGCCCAATTATGATTCAGATTGCATTGCCCCGAATCTGCATCTCCTTCCTGAATTTCCTGTTGGATTTAGAGGAACCACTAAACTGGACACTGGATACCCAAACTGGAAACATGGGGAACTCTACTTTATTTCCCACATACAAACCATTCTGTTAATTTTACCTCCCAAGTCCATCCCTTCCCTCAATTTCTGTTGGTGCTGCTGTAGTTCAGGTCTGTATCATTTCTCCCTGTTTCAGCTCTCCCTTGGACTATTTTAAGAACCCTCTCAGTGGGTTCCCTGCTTCAAAGTTACCTACTGCTTTGCAAGTAAATAAAAATCTATGATGCTCCCCTGCTCTGAACCTTGCAGTGATTCCCTACTGCCTCCAGGATAAAGTTTGCATTCCTAATCCCAGCACCCACCTGGCCTCGAATCTCCGAGTCCTTTCAGTGGTAGGCCCTACATCCCATGAACCTGCAGTTCTCTAAGCCTAAATAGCCGTTCTGCTAAACTGAACAAATATGCAGGGTTTTGATCTTTAAATAAGAGAAATACTTGCTCCTGTAGAGAATGTATTACTTAACTACAAATTTACTGTGAAAATTAAGTCTCCTTTAAAAAATGAGAAGACAGGGGCACCTGGGTGGCTGCGTTTGCGCCCCACATCAGACACTGCACTGACATTCGGGAACCTGCTTCGAATTCTCAGTCTCCCTCTCTCTGCCCCTCCCTCGTGGCATTGGTCGGTCGGTCTCTCTCTCTCTCTCTCTCAAAAACATATGAACATTAAAAAAATGAGAAGAGAAAGAAGTTGCTTAAGGTCCACACTCTTTTTGCATTTTCACCAAGAACTGCAAGGAAGTGTTGAGAAGCCCAGTCTGGTGAGGGAACTCAGGCAGCCTCTGGCAGGCCCATGGTGGAAGGCTGACGGGAATGGGCTTGTTAGCAGGGGTCAGGGCCACCCATGGTGGCGGGCCACAGGGAGGTACAGCAGCTCTGAGAGATGCTGCCTGACAGGGCACAGGGGTCTTCAGAGCTGAGGAGAAAGACTGAGAGTCTGGGGGGCAGGGTAGAGACTGAAGAGGGCTGTGCGGAGAGTCACAGTGGCTGAGCACTGATCTGCCTCTGAGGAAAGTCCTCAAAGCTGGGAAAGATCCACCTGAAAGGACTGAAGAAAACAGTTGCCAAAACTCACAGAAGACACTGTAGGAGCTAAAAAGAAGGAAATGCCCTGGATTTTTTCCCTTCCTCCCTCCCTCCCTCTAGTCCTCCACTTGT